GAGCAAATCTCCGAATAGCTCCCGCTGACTGCATTTTTGATACTCGTTACAGGGTGTGTCATCTGGGTTCTGTCCAGGAGAAACTAAGCTAGAAGGCACCCTGAAATGTGAAGTGGATGCTAGGTCTTCAGCACTGCCAGTTTCTACAGATCTGCTCCTGATGCACCTATATTATCTGCTAATGTATTCATAGTCACAGTTCATTGGGAAGAACTAGAGAAAACCTTGGCATGTTGCTGCACTGTGAGATTTGCTGCTGAAATAGTCTATTATGCCAAGGATTGCAAAAGCTAAGGGGTATGAGAGACTTCATCTTTCCCTTCAGAAGGAAATTTTAAGCAGATGGAAGGATTGAGATATCTTTACTTTTTAAACATGTTTGAAATGACTGAGAGATGTGGAAACTGTAAGGGGAAAGTTGGTGCACAAAAGATAGGTAATCTGGTAAAGAACCTGTATCTATCACTGAATCTACAACTTATTACAGAAATGTTTGGTGAACAGAGATTAGAGATTTTCCATGAGTTTTCTTGAAAGTCTGGGCAGTGGAGACTACGGGGGACCAGCATTTCTTATGCTGACAACAACCTATAGGAAATTTAAGCAAAAGAACTTTACTGACATTCATGGAAGCATAATTCCTGCTACTGGAACAGAGCATATGGAACTTCATGGCTTGTGGTATGCTTGTGGTACGAGCACTTCTTTGCTGAACTTCATTATTTCTTCTTGCCTTAAAATGTCTGAATTTCACAGAGGTCTGCAGGGGTAACACAGACCAGCTTTAACTCTTGATTTTCATTTATATATGTTGTTAGACTACCAGCTGACTTTTGCTTACCTAGACTCTGTTGTTTACTTGACCCTATTCAAATTCTGCTTGTCCAAGGAAATGATATTATTTGCATAGCCACATTGTCACACGCACTCTCACTGGAGATTTAGGAACTGATTAGAGGAAGTGTGTGTACTGTGCATGCCACTGCTTGTGTAGAAGTATGTGCCATTTCAGAGAATTTAAAAGCATGTGGGAGCAACCATCCCTCAAATGCAAGTTTGGCAAGTGGAGTAGTGAATGGTGTAGTATATGCTCTGGAGCTGGGAAGCCAGAAAGGTAGAAACCTGGAAAAGACAACTTCGTATAATTTTACGGTCTTTGTAGGGGAAGATTTAAAAATTCTTATTCACAGATGTCTTTGCTGTATAGCTGTTCCAAGTTATTGCTGTTTTCCTTTGACTGGATATGGACTTTAGTGTTCATATCAGTTACAGTCCTGTTAGTATCTGAGAGGTGCAACCTTGCTAACTAAACAGACTTCTCTAGTTCAATATGGTAACGTAGGATTTCATTACAGCTCTCATGTTAGGCAGTTATGAGACACAGTTCTAAATGGCAGATGCTTTAATGCCTGTGTCAGGGTCTACAGTGACAAATAGTCACCACTGCACAAACACATTTATTTTACTACAAGACGTTTTCCTGGGGAGGAGGGAGTGCCAATCAGAA